GACTTACCTACATTTTCTAACTTTTAGGATAATATGGTCTGATAAAGAGAACATTTATATACATGTTTAAGCCAGAATGATTTGACATTTAAATATGATTTCCCTACGACTTTAAATGTGATTATTGTGGCATTTTAAATGCTTTAATAAAATAAAGTTTATAAAAACTATTTTGGCTGGAAAACGAGGAATTTTGTGACATAAAGATGACCAAGGAGTTTTCTAACTTGTTTTTAGAGAGAGAGAGAGAGAGAGAGAGAGAGAGAGTCATGGGTGCCTGTTTATGGCATTAGAATGAAGAATATTAAAAAGCATTAAATTAGAGTTGGTCATTCCAGTATAAACGCTGGTTTGGATCTTTTATGATCAGTTTTTAGTCGTCTTTGAGTCTGATTGAAAGAAATCCGGTAAGTTGCTTCTGATCAGGTTCTGTGTGACGCTGGATGATGAACCGGACCTGTTTTCCCCGCAGCATGATGGTGTGATGTTGGTCTTGTAAAGATGGAGCAGAACATATGATCTTTGTGTATCCAGGCCTGCGAGCCCTGCTCCATCTGCCCATGTGCATCCGCCAAGGACGGCGTGAAGGACAAGGACAAAGACGGCAGGAAGAAGATACCAAAGATCTTTTTTGGCACGCGGACCCATAAACAGATAACCCAGGTGGCTCATGAACTGAAGCGCACCGTGTACTCCGGCGTGCACATGACCATCCTCTCCAGCAGGGATCACACCTGTGTCAACGCAGACGTGGCGCCGCACTCCAACCGCAACGAACGCTGCAAGGATCTGCTGGAGGCCAAAGATGTGAGGAGGACGAACACACACACACACACACACACACACAGACATCTTCAGCCTTTGAATCTCATCCTGCTGCTGTTAGAAATCAGGAAGAAAGGCTGATAGTAACCAGAGATGTTCTCTGGTACAGATTAGTGGGAAAGTTTCATTCGGCTCAGACTGACTGACGCTCTCAGCCTCAGAGGAACTCGATTCATCCACAAAGCAACCTTTGACACCCTAGAACGACCAGAACCATTTTTCTGAGATGTGATACACTTGTAGCTCCTATTGTGTCCCAGAGTTCAGGCGCCTACTGTAATGAGGACGATTATGCTGTCAGGTGAGGTGTTGGCCTCACAGCAACTGTAGCGCAGTTACAGCTGGAGCAGGTGTCGCCCGCAGCCCGGGTGTTGATGACCGCTGCAGTCGTCTTCGTGTTACCGAGCCGTGAAGACTCACCGGGGTTCCTACAGAGTTCTGGGGGGTTCTGCTGGTGGTTGGTCCAGCAGATCCTGTGTTCCTGTGCAGATGGGGTCCAGGTGGAGCAACGTTCAGAGAGGAAGATGGTTTCATCTTTGTGTCTGAAACGGAGTCCTTCTCCATGGACTACGGTGGCCCTGAAGTGCAAGCTGCATCTACAAATCTAAAAGCGCAACTACATTAAGGAAAACACAATAACATTAACCTACTGGAAAAG